GATGTGTACCGCGGAGAGAGTCGAGTTTCCAGTAAAGCAAACTTCTTCTGTTGTCGAGTTTTAGACTTGATACTCTCAGACTGAAGAAGTCTCTTGGAGGAGAGACGAAACGTTTCATTAGAGAAGAACCCGTCCAGAAGACCTATACAATTTTTTTCTTTTTTATTATTAACAATGTAAATGAGTAAAAAAATACATGTATATGATCTATTTTAACATTTTGAAGGCCACTAAACACAAAAGAAAAATAAAAGAGCAACACAGTTCTGCAAAAACTGAAAGAGGAAACTGAAATACGTCTGCTTAAAATGTTTAAAAAAAATTTGTACCAGTTTTTAGTCACCTGAAATGAACTAAAACAAACTTGTCTTAGTGCTTTTGTTCTGTCACAGTATAAAAAAAGTAAAATAGGCATCTTAAACAAAGTTCATTGTACAAAGGAAAAAAGTAAATTACTTTACCTGAGAATTAAAAAAATATTTGTGCAAATCTTTGTTAAGCATTTTTGACGTCCTAAAAGACAAAAAGCCGTCATTATTTTCAGCCACTCTGTCAGAAATTGACTGTTTGGATTTGATGGTTTTGTAGTTTATCAGCACTTCAGGATTTGAGGAAGAAAGTCACGAGAAACAAATCTTGTTCTCTTCCATAAAAAGATGTTTGTGCTGTTTAGCTTTCCCAGTTTGCACATGAGGCTTTCAGCGCCAGCCTGTCTGCAGCTGCCATCAGCAGAGATTGAAGCAAATACGGCAAAGAGCATTCTTCTCAGATGTTCCTGCAGGAGTCACGTTAAATGTCTTGTTTGGCAACAAACCAAATGACTCATACAGTTCTACACATCAGGGGGAAAAAAGGGAATTAAACACAATCTGCTGCTGCAGTTTGTCTCTAAAGCTGCACATATAACAACTTTTTTACGCCTGCTATTTGAGATTATCAATCTTTCCCATCCAGATTAGCAGAGAAAATAAGGAAATTAGTGTTTGGTAGATTTGTAACCAAGCCTCTTGGATATAATTCTTATTGAGTTGGAWWGCCTGTTAATTTTCCTTTTCCATGGTGCCAGCTGTCTTCACTCTGCAATCACCCAGTTCTCTCTTTCCACTCAACCCTGCTGCTATTTAACCAGTCCTCCTTCATCACTTCCTCGTCCGTTCATTGGATGGTTCTCTCCAGGTGTCCTTCTGTCATTTTATATTTTGTTTCGCTGCCACGTCGGCCTTTTCCTTTTGTAAATTCCTTGAGTCTGCAGGCATTTTGGCTCTGATCCTGCCTCCAGCCTGGTGGAATACGGAACACAGCAGTGCCAATTTTTAGCGACTTTGTCATTAGAGCGGGTAAAATAAGTATTGAACACGTCACCATTTTTTTAAATATATTACTAGAGGTGCTAATGACGTGAAATTTTCACCAGATGTTGGTAACAACCAAAGTGATCCATACAT